TAAAATAACAGTCAGGGAGGTGAGCAGAGCTGTGTGATGATCAATCTCTGTGCAGACAGACTGAATCCATACATTTAGAGGGTCAGTGAGCATCTCCTCTGCTGAGAGGGAACAGGGCAGTGGGAGAGAGGGGAGGTCAAAAGCATGTGCTTGTGGGAAGTGTCACCGGGCTGCTTGACAGAGGGTGGTGTGGAGTATCTCATTTATCAGTACTCAACCAAACAGTTCAACATTTGAAATAAAAGCAGGTAGAATCCTTTTCTAGGCAGACTGATTGAGCTTCTGGAAAAGAGAATTAGCTGCTCATATTTAGCAAATATGCACCAAATCTCCAGATAATAGAGATTACTCAATCCACAGCTGCCACACTTGTCAAATAAAGCATTGAAGTTATAATTCTACAAAAGCCTCTTTCGAGAATGTTGTTTTTTCCACCACAACCCACTTCCTGTAATTTTTTTTGGCAACTTGTATTACAGTATGTACAAATTACAAAAGTATGCTGCTAATAAAATGAAAAATAATTTTAATTGTGTAAATTTAATTTTGTGTGAAAATTACATGAAATATGTTCACGGATAATCAAGCTACATCAGGATTTTGTGTAGTGTTCATCTGTCTTTATGGTATAAGTAACACGAAGCACATTTGAGCAACTGAAGGATCAAAATGTGTTTTATCCGCATCACCTCCACCTTTTTGAGGCATGCGCACAATGCAGAGGCAAACTAGAGTTTGATTAACACAACTACAATGAGTTTATCTACACCAGACACCATTCAAAAGGTTGGGGTCTGTAAGAATTTTTGATGTTTTTGAAAGAAGTCTTTGAGAAAAAATACAGTAAAATTGTGAAAATTAATTACAAATTATAATAACTGTTTTTCTATATATTAAATTGCAATTCATCCCTGTGATGGCAAAGATGAATATTCAGCATCATTCACCCAGCCTTCAGTGCCACATGATCCTTCAGAAATCATTCTAATATGATTTGATAATCAAGAAATGTTGAAAACAGTTATTTTTTGAGAAAACCATGACACATTTTTTTCCAGAATTTTTTGATAAACAGAAAGATCAAAGCAATTATATTTCATTTATTTGAAATATAAATATTTTAAATGTATAAATATAAATGTATTTATTTTGATTTAATGCATCCTTGCTGAATAAAAAAAAATATATATAATTACTAACCCCAAACTTTTTAAACTTTATTATAGGTTTGTTAGTCCAAAATTGCAAAAAAAAAAAAAAAAAAAAAAAGACAAAAAATTATAAGGATGGAACTTAAGTGTTTAAAAAATATGGAACTTAAGTGTTTAAAAAATATATAAATTACTGACTGAAATATGACCTTAAACCTTCAGTGTACATAAACATAATTTGGCAAATCGTTGCCACACTGTCATTTTACAAGAACAAAAAGCATCATTCCCTGCTGGTTTGGCTATTCTTAGATGGGAAAATATTTAAATGTGTGCAGACCACAAAACATAATTGGCCAGCCACTTTCTATATTCCACAGCTCTATCATAAATGCTTTTGGTGCATGGCTATATAAAAAAGGCCTTTCATTATTTCAACTTTTCCCTAAAAGGAAGGATTAACAGGAACACCATCTTCTAGGCTAGTCGTTTCCAATAATGCAGAACAGGAATAGATAGTTTCCCATAAAGTACTGTACCTTGAAAAAGCAAACAGGAATAACCAACAACAGACTCTGTGTATCATGTGCAGTCACATCTATAATGGAGGGGATTACCAGAAGGAGGCAAATTTCAGAGATGCCTTGTGCAGCACAAAAGAAGCAATCTCAGCAGGATGGCCAGGAGTTTACCCATGGCATCCTGACAGATGTGGCACTCCTCCAGTGATGGGAATGAGGAACACTAACACAACTTCTACATCAGCGTGGGCTGACACGACTGACCCATATGCACATTTAGAAGAATAGCCATACCACACGATCAACCACAGCTGAATTGCATCTATAGTAGCAAGTTAAAGCTGCAGTCCGTAACTTTACAACTAATAAGCGAGTACATCATGAATCCGTTTTCTTATCCTCAATCACTAGGGTACATCTATAAGTGTTTATATTGGGACTATTTTAGTCTGGTTCGGGTCGTATCACTGCGGAGTAGCTCAGTAATAGACATAAACAGAGAGAAGTAGCTCCGGCTACATTGTTCTGCAGTTCTGTTTATTTACCGCAAGAGCACCGAAAGTTACAGACTGCAGCTTTAAGTAGAACCTCACCTTTGGATTGAAAAGCCTCCTTTAGGCTCAGCAGCACGTCAGAAAACTTGCGCACATCATTGACCAGTTGCATGATGTATTCAGGGTCTCCTCCTGGGGCGGTGATGGTATGGTCCAAGCCCATTGCATTGAGGGGGTTCGTCTTAGAGCTGCGGCCCATTTCTTGTGTTTTGTTGGACCCGGGTGACAGAGACACGGGGATGTTGGGCTGGGAGAGATGAGCACCGCTTGCCAAGCGCTTATTCCCACTGTTGCTGCCCTGACGGAACATTCCAGCAGCCGCTTCTGCCGTCACTGAGCCGCATCAGCCGCAGATCCAAGCGCCCGCCTGCCAGTGGAGAGCTGAGGGCACTGTGGGAGAAAAAGCTAATGATCATTAACTAAAGTAAGCATACAAAGACGGTGGAACTTAATATCATGTGCACCATGAACGTGTGTAGCCGAAATGTTTTTGAAAATGTACACACACAAAACATTTAATGCATCCCTTGTAAATCACAGTTAATCTTCAATTCAAGCACAATGTGTAGTACAAGCTCATGATGATCAATTCCATGTACAGAATGCCCAGAAATATCTCTTTATTAAGAAACATTTATTATTATTATCAATATTGAAAACAGTTTATGCTGCTTAATATTTGGGGGTAAACCGTGACACACCAACAGCAGTAATGGCTGCTGAAAATTTAGCAATAACATAATATTTATGTAATAATATTTCACTGTATTTTGATCAAATACATGCAGCCTTGGTAAGCATTAAGAGACTTCTTTCAAAAACCTTATTGTTTCCAAACTTTTGACTATAAGTGTGTTGATAGATTTTTTCCCCCAATAAATAATTCATTAATTTTGATGTATTATTTTGTAAACATGTTGCTCATTTGCACATATAATTATATTAATGCATATTCCAATTTGTCATTGCATGTTTTTTTATTGGTATGTAAGAGTGCAAAAAGGTTTGTACAGATGGAAGTTAGATCTGGGTTAAGTGTATTTTTTTTCTTAATTTACATATTGAAAGAGTAGTTAACATCGAGCCATATTATAAATGCATCCAACTATCTAATTTGCTTTTTATAAGCAAACAGGAATTTTCATTTTAAAACCCAGCAAGTGGTTCCACAGCACCTAAAGTGCTCTCTTCGAGCTCTTCACTATCTTTATGATGATCAAGGAACAAGCCCTCAGACTACCTGACCCCATTATCTACAAATGCATTTACATTCACCCACATGTCATTTTTGTAGCCATATACTGTTTTCTTGAGCTCTGTGATTAACGTTACGTGACTGCTTTTGTCTACACGTGACGCACGTCTGCTGCAGAAGAATGCGAGTAATGCGAGTAATCTTTATCATTTAAAAGGGGGCTTGACACCTGCCAATCAAAACTAACCATCGCGCTAGTGTTCACTGTTTGTGTTCACTGATATGAGAGGAAATGGACAGAGGAAAAAACACGGACATTGGGTGGAGTATGACCAGCTATGATTTATGTCAGACATAAATGTTGTTTAGGCTTGAAAAGTTCTTTAACAGAGCATGTACTCAACCAAATCAGCATCAAATCACTTCTTTATTATTAAAATCCTATTTATAATTTAGATATTATATTTACCGACTGTAAGAGAGCATATATGATTTGACGAACCTAATAACTAACGTTAACTGTTTCTCCACTTCATAGCTGCTTTACGTCACACTTTAGCGCTGCTAGCTAACCACCTCACAATTACAAATATTTAACAGTTGGTTGCTGTTTACAGCGTCTCAGACAAGTGGCACTTACTTGAATAGTTCATTAGGAACATCATACCGCAGAATTATGAAGGTAAATCCTTTGTAAAAACATCAAATAAGCTGAAATGAAACGCTCGCCAACGGACCGCTCTTCACATCACAACTGAACTGACGAGAGAAAAACTTACTGAGTGAGTGTAGTGACTGACTGACTGACTGACTGACTCAAAACTTACTCACGTGACCTCAAAGCCAACTTCCTATTGGCTGGGGAGTGCCCTGAACAATCCGCTTGTTTTCCTCGTCAAAATTACATGCATGTGCTGCTCAGTGCTCTAATGATGTGTAGATAGAAGTGTACAAAAATAATAATTAGCTTTATTTATGTTAGAGATACAATAAGGGTTTATATGCTAGTCATAAGGTCCAGCATATAGCCGGAAGAAAATAAGAAAATAATTTAATTATGTTTTATTAACTTTACATAGTAATTCAATGCCAATATTTAAAAATTTTTTTAGCATGTTTACACTCCAAGACAACAGTTAATACAAAGCTGAAGCGAAATTACAAATTAACAAATATTGGAAGAAAAGGGATAATAAATTATTGATTTTCAAAATAATGAAACATATTTAATAATAATAAATAACACTGATAAATGTACAATATAAAATAACATTATAATTATTTTAAAATAATACACAACGCATACAATTGTACATTCTAATACATAGAAATTATCATTATCAGTCTTTCTTTGGCACGAAGAGCTAGATTGCATTCTAAATGGAAATGATGGGTGTAATGGTGAAATGACTGTCTATCCTGATTATACATCAGAGGAAAAATGTTTCTAAAACAAAAACCGTACGTACCAAAAATGTTGCAAGCCTGTTGCAAGCAAAAGAAATATATGGAAGAATTAATTGGACTTTTTAATTTGATTCTGCCGACACCTTGCGGCGGCTGAACGTTTCACCATAGCCTTTACATCCGTGTTTGAGTGTGCATGTGTGTGTGATATTTGTAAGGTGTGCGTATGTGTGTTCTTAGGGATGTGTACACTTATGGAAGCTCTCGGTTAACAAACAGTCGTGCTGTGGAAAACCCACAGGAGGAAATCCACTGCGTGGGTCCTTCTTTGCCCGCCGTCGCTTCCTGATTGGTGTTATAGTGAACATGGCGGCTCTTAGTAAGCATCTGACAGCCGGCAATTTCTCCATCGCAGGTGCTGTGCTGTTCGCCGTGTACGTAATTAAACAAAGACTGTCTTCGGAAACTAATGGGTAAGATAATTGCTTCGTTTACCTGTTGCCATTTATTTACCCGGTCTCCGTAACCTCTTCGACATTGAAACATCATTGACATGGGACGCATTCATTTCTTCAGACGTTACATGCCTATGAGTTGCATTGGAATTTTAGGTGATTTACTTTAAGGCTTGTTGATTTCTCATGCTTTACGTTCATTTATAGAGAGAAAGGGGCATCAAAACCACTGTTGGAAAATGATGTAAGTATATTCCTTAAGTTAGTTTAAATCTAAGTAATATTCGTTATCTAAGATCGGAGTTTGTTGTGTGTGTGTGTGTGTGTGTGTATATTCATATTTTTTTCTTCCTTTTTTAAAGAAGGATAGAAAGACAGATAAAGCTGCCGTGGACAAGGTTTTCTTCAGGCGCATTTGTCATATCATGAAAATCCTGCTGCCAGAGACTTTTTGCAAAGAGGTAACTATTTTTTCTATTATCTATTTATTTTTTGTTTCCACTGGCTGTGTTGTCTAGGTAAAATACTTTTTAATATAGGCTACAGCAATCATTATTGGTTGTTTTCTATCCTAGTCAGGATATTTGCTTCTGATTGCTGCCATGCTCATGGCCAGAACCTACTGCGACGTCTGGGTGATCCGTAATGGGACCATGATTGAGAGGTATGAACATTTTAGATCTTTGACCACATTTGCCACATGCCGTTATAGCTTCATGCTTTTTTGTACTTTTTCATAAATTATTCCTTAACATTAGGGGATGTTTTTGTATATTAATCTCATCTGATCTTGAATAATGATTATGAATGTTTATCAGAGTTTATGTTCTATATATGTTGTATTTGTAGTCCAGTGTGGGCACTGTGGGGTGATCGGGATGGCATTGCAAGTGGAACATGCCTGATCAGTTAAATGCTGTCTTTCCTGTTTTTCTTGAAATGTGTAGCTACTACAAGCACTCAATGACTGTTATTCAATGTGTGTGTGTGTGTGTGTGTGTGTGTGTGTGTGGTTGCAGTGCAATTATTGGACGCTCGACAACTGCTTTCAAAAGACACTTGGTCAACTTTATCACAGTCATGCCTTTTGTAAGTGGTCTAAACTTTGCACAATTTTAAACTTTGTCCAATTTGAACTGTGTCCAAATTAGCTTGACAAGCCATTATTCATATCATTTATATGATATAAGGTAATGTTACAATATTAAATATGGCTGTTTTTTAATAAAGGGACATAATAGATCTTTTGTTCAAGTTATTAAAATATAATTAGCATATAAAAAGGGTAATTATGCATTATTTAAAGGTAATAATGTATTTACAATTTTTTAGAACCTTTTAGTCTTTTCTTTAACTATGTATTTCATACAGATTTATTTGAGAAAAATGTTTTTGTCTTTTTGTGTGACTCATCAGATATCTCTAGTGAATAACTTCTTAAAGCTGGGACTCAACCAACTGAAGCTATGCTTTAGAGTAAGACTGACCAATCAACTTTACAATGACTACCTGACGTAAGTGATTTTCGTCAACTGCTGAATGATGCTTAAATTGAATCCAGCCTTATCATATTTCTGTTCTCCATTTTTAGTTAACTCTATTAGCATTTTTCCCTTATTCAGTCAAATACAGAAATCAGGATTGTGCCGTTTAAAATTCAGTTTCATTTTCCAAAAAAAGTCAATAACATATTTAGTGAAGATTTGCGGAGAGTAGCGCAATATTATAAAACATTACTTTTAAAATGAACTATAATAAGTGTAAGTCTTCACTAGAAAAGTACTGCTGTATGTTTGACAATAATATTACAACAGGGGGTTCACATACTATCAGATTGGCAACTTGGACAACCGCATTGCCAACCCAGACCAGCTGATAACCCAAGATGTGGAGAAGTTCTGTAACAGTGTGGTGGACCTCTATTCCAATGTTAGCAAGGTAACACAGAGTAACACTCACTCTGTTACAGCAAAAAATAACACATTCTTGGTCATTCTGAACCATATTAAGATGTCTTCTGTTTAAGACATCCTGATTCTTTTAATTTTTTTCCTCCAGCCTCTTCTAGACATATTAATCTACATCTGCAAACTCAACTCAGCCATTGGTACTCTTGTAAGTGTCAGTTTTAAATAATTTACCAGCAGTGTTGTGTAAGGTACTCTAAAAAAAGTAATTAATTACTAGCTAATAATTACATCGTCAACAGTTTTAAGCCATATTCAGATAGGATTTACATGGAGATGTGGGGTAATTATTACCAGGGCTTCTCAGTGATTTTAGTCCAGTCTGAATGCATTACGGCCGATGTGAGGAAAGATTATGGCGACTTCACTCCTAGGGCTGTGAAGCAAGTACATTCTGGGAGTTGTTGTCTTTCATCCACATAAGCCAAAAATACATTTCTCAGTCTAGAAAGCTCCAAATTAAAAAATAATTTCACATTTCTTCTACATAAATTATCCATTTTAAATACACATTCATCTTTCCTGAGGTGAAGTATCCCTATAAGACATATACATCATATGTGATGCACTTAAGCACAGCACATGACCTTTTGGAATGCCCACGTTTAGAAAACACTTTACAGTGTTTCATGCAATTATAACAGAAGTAACTAATTAAATTTCATAAAGATTAAGAGCTATCTAATTTAATAGGGATACTATTAAATTATGATGATTAGGTAGGTGCAATTCATTACTAATTAAGTGCCTCAGTCCCCACGATGTTTAAAGCCTCTTCCTGTTCCTCTGTAGGGCCCTGCTTGTATGCTGGGCTATCTGTTGTTCTCCGGTCTGATCCTGACCAGACTGCGTAGGCCGATTGGCAAGATGACCATAACCGAGCAAAAGTATGAGGGGGAGTACAGATATGTCAATTCTCGTCTCATCACTAACAGGTATGCATCTATGGGCCTCCATCTCTTTGTCTGGCTGTTTGTCTCCTGAGGTATTTTTTGAAGAAAAACGCATGATTTCTCCATAATATTTCAGCGAGGAGATCGCGTTCTACAACGGCAACAGGAGAGAAAAGCAAACCATTATTGGATCCTTTCAGAAACTGGTGAGGAAAATCAAAATAGCTTTGATATCCGTTATCTAATCCATATACAATGTTAGTGAATCTTTCAGTCAGACTTCTTGTTCTTATTTAGGTGGACCACTTGAATCGCTTCATACACTTTCGTTTCTCAATGGGTGTCGTGGACAGCATCATAGCCAAATGTAAGCAGAAATAGCTTACTACTGAAGGTGGCAGCAGAATACTAATTAAAGGTCAACATGGTCTTATTGTGAGCAATTAATTTGTTTAAATAATTTTTTTTCTAAACCTCAATCCAAATGTATTATAGTCACATTTGGGTCTTTTTTAGTGAAACAATGTCACATTATGAAAGTAAAATAGGCTGAAAATGGCAGTGCTGACTTTAAAAGTAGACTTGCGTAGAGTATTTTTAATACAGGCACTAGTATGAAAGGATCATTAAGATAAATTTAAAGAATCTTTCATGGGAGACACATTTTCTGATGATTCTCCAGACATAGCCATGGCGGTGGGTTACCTGGTTATCAGTCGGTCTTTCCTGGACCTCACAAACCAACGGCATCTGAACAGCTCATACGCTGAGCGACTGGAAGTGAGTATGAATGAACACAGACAAAGAAATCCAGATAATATATTGCTTGTAATTACTGACCTTTGATCTCTCCAGATTTAATTGTCTTTGGAAAATTGCTTTATTGAGTCAATAAGGATTTCCTTGGTTAAATGTTTGCACAGACGATAGAAGTTCTTCTGTGTTTATTTTCCGCTGCAGGACTACTACCAGAGTGGGCGGATGTTGATAAGTTTGGCACAGGCCCTGGGAAGGATCGTCCTGGCAGGCAGAGAGATGACCAGGCTGTCCGGGTGAGTGCTCTGCCTTCAGTACATTCATTCATTTCTTGGTCCTCATGCCATTCATCATCTCTACACTCGCTAGTGCTCACTTACCGTCTGTCTTTTATCTGCTTTGGTATAAGTATAAGTGTGTTTATCTGGAATCTGAATCCTTTTATTAGGTTCACTGCACGAATCACAGAAATTCAGGATGTACTTAAGGATCTGAATTCAGGCAAATATGAACGGACCATGATTACACAGCAAAGCAAAGGTCTGGATTATTGTGCGTTGTGTTTTTTGTTTTGTTTTGAAGCATTTTATGAATTTGTAACATAGAGATGTCTCAATGAATTGTAAACTAATAATACCATACAAATGCTATTTGCAGTAAAATTCTCACCAAAGCTGCATTTATTTGATTAAAAAATAGAGTAAAGCAGTAATATTGTGAAATATTATTAAAATTGAAAATGTTTATTTTGACATTTTAAAAATGTCATTTATTCCTGTGATGCAAAGCTGAATTTTCAGCATCATTACTCCACAGAAATCATTCTGATTTGCTGATATGGTTTGTATATATATATATAATGTATGTGTGTGTGTAAATCCACAGATGGAGCAGTAGAGAAAATCCCCCTTATCCCTGGGAGAGGTGAAATCATCATCGCAGACAACATTATCAAGTAAGTTATGTACAAAGTAAACAAAACATCAGTCAAACCATCACAGTTAGCTACTTAGCATTTATGTGTTTTGTGTAATCCTCAGTTCCAAAGACTTGTTTGAATATTTTTCTGAATGTGTATGTTGTGTCTGGCCATCATATCATCGGTGTTTCAAGTTGAGCTGTATCCTTTCATCCACAGGTTTGAACACATACCTTTAGCAACGCCCAATGGAGACATTCTCATCCGTGACTTGTCTTTTGAGGTTACTGCTCCATAAATAAAATGTTTTTTAAGTCTAAATTTGTTATTTAGATTGTATAGCAGGGTTTTGCGATCTGGTTTTGGTAATTACCATCTTCTCTCTTTACATTAAGGTGTCATCTGGGACAAATGTGTTGGTCTGTGGGCCCAACGGCTGTGGGAAGAGTTCCCTCTTCAGGGTTCTGGGAGAGGTCAGAGCTGTTTTTCAGCAGAATTATGTGTCTTTATAAACCTCAGTGTTGTTAACTCACATTGTCTTTCTTTGCTTCCCAAGCTGTGGCCTTTGTATGGAGGACAGCTCACAAAACCAGAGAGAGGGAAGCTCTTCTATGTTCCTCAGGTGGGCATTTTCATGGCAGCAGGTTAAATGTGAAAATGTTCTCCTATATATTTTCCAGGTTCATTTGTTTGTATTTTTCTTCAGAGGCCCTACATGACACTGGGTTCCCTCAGAGATCAGGTGATTTATCCAGACACACATGAGGACCAAAAGAAGAAAGGAACCTCTGATCGGGTGAGTTTTATAATCAAATGGACAGCAAAATTAGATGTTATGCGATAAAGGGATAGTTCACCCATAAATGAAAATTCTGTCATCATTTACTCACCCTGATGTTGTCTTTTGTTTATCTTCAAAATTTTATTCACATATAAACATTGATGAACAATGCGCAAACCTAGAGAACGGAAGCTCAAATGTACTTGCTTGACGTGTGAGAACTGATGAGGTTTGTTCTCATTTGAGTTCCTGTTGACCATATTTAATGTGCTCTGGGTATGTGCGTTGATCAGTTGTTTATGTATTAACTTATTCATCATATAAAACGATCGTGTCTTCAGAAGACTTAAACTGCTCGATTCATATAGACTACTTTTACAATCTCCTTATTAACTTTTTGTAGAGTCAAAAGTTTTGGAGTAATAGACCTTCAAAGGAGGAGATTTCATTAAAAATACCTTCATTTGTGTTTTGAACTATCACTTTAAACCAATAACGTACTTAAAATTAAAGTTCTGTAATTATTTATTCACCCACATGTTGATTGAAGCTCCAAGAGGTACAGAAAGCAGCATCAAATGTGTGCATGTTACTTGTATGTTAAGTTTGCTTCTCAAACAACACTATCATATGAATTCAGAAAGACTTGGAATATATAGCAAAATCGATATAGACTATATTTATAATGTTCTTTTTGGAGCTTGACAGTCAACTTTCGTTTTATGAAACATAACAATGAATTTAGACATTCTGCTAAATGTCTCACTGTGTTTCACAGAAGAAAAAAATGTTCTGAGTGAATAAATATTGAGGAAAATTGTAATTATTGGGTGAACTGTTCCTTTAAGTAATATGTTTGAGTAGGAAACTACAGTGTTACTGTTATTATATATTGTGTAACTGTGGTCAGGTGCTTAAGGAATATCTGGACAATGTCCAGCTGGGACATATCCTGGACAGAGAGGGCAGCTGGGAGACTGTGCAGGACTGGATGGATGTCCTCAGTGGTGGAGAAAAGCAGAGAATGGCTGTAAGCTCTAATTCTTGCATTATCTCTTTTTTTAAAGTAGGTATGAAATGGAAGTTGCCATAGTCATTTCTCTTTTCTTCCTTATTGTGATGTATATTCGAGTGAAACGGCTTTTCGAACAAGGAAAAAAGGATTTTTGTCCATCGGGAATTGATTGGATGGTTGTGGTTTGCTATTGCTCTGATGTCATGTGACAGGTTGCCCCGCCCTCACATCAGTAAACATCATCAGAGAAGGGAAGGGAAGTCATTTTGATTAAAGATTATGAGGACACATGCATAAAAAAAGATATCTGTGAAATATAAAATATTTATAATAAAAACAAGAATTGTCCATTTTGATATCATGGTGACTTGAAATATCCCTCTCTTTAGGGTGAGACAGAGACAGATATTAATGTGGCCTGTATAAGATCAGAAAGCCCACATTTTCATATGTTGAGGAACTTAACTCTATATTGAATTGCACAGATGGCTCGTCTGTTCTACCACAAGCCCCAGTTTGCTATTTTGGATGAGTGCACCAGTGCTGTCAGCGTTGATGTGGAGGACTTCATCTACAGCCATTGTCGAAAGGTAGGCAGATGTCATCTTCTTCTTCACAACGAATGCAAGTTTGGGGGGTTATGTACAGCGGGCTAGAAAGTGGTCACCCCACCATGCTCATTTTCTGTGACAGAAGTGAGGAAGTCAGAAATGTATTTTTCTTGTTCCTGTGGGAGTTTCCATCAGGAACATCTGTCTCCCTGAGCTCAGCTGGAATCATCCGTTTTCTCCTTTAGGTTGGCATCACACTGTTCACGGTCTCCCATAGGAAATCTCTATGGAAGCACCACGAGGTACTATCTTATTCATTAGAATACTGAAAATACTAAAAGCAAAACTGAAAAAGTCAAGTCTTAACTCATTGTTTCTCTTTTCTACAGTATTACTTGCAGATGGATGGAAGAGGAAACTATGAGTTTAAATCCATCTCAAAGGAAACAGTGGAGTTTGGATCATAATAATAACTTTGGGCCTTATTCATGAGGAAATATTTGTGTAAATCATTGAAGTTTTTCAGTTAAATCATTGCTTGTGAAAATTTCTGCAAGAATGGTTTTACGCTGAGATTTGCTCTGCTCGTGTTATGAATGAGGCCTATTGGTACTAAATGTGGATCTGAAGCAATATTCTGGAGTTCTCTTTATATTATAAGATGTTAAATATAACTACTTTTCTTCGTCTGAGGGAAAGGATTGTAACTGGATAAAGATCTCTCAGGGAGAGGTTATCTGTGGTAAGGAATAAATTTGGGTTTGATATTCTTTTAAACATTTGTATTATAAAGTAGTGATATTTGTAGTTGGTACTTGATTTATGTTTGGAAATAACACTGTTGCATGCCACTGGTACAATAATGAGTCCATAACACCATGGAAACTGTATTCAGGTGTAATGAGCTGTTTTTCTGAATTTAATTTTATGGAAAATTAATTTTAAGATATATTGATGCTTAATATATGTTTGAGAACCTATTGGATATTTATATGTGTATACATAGTGCCTTACAGACATGTTTTACTGAATTACAAAACATACAATCAAATCTGTGTGATTATTAAAAAAAAAAAACCTGGAATTAATTTTAATCCCACATTGTTTTGTAAGTTTTTTTATATATATATTTTTGGTTTTGACATTCATATATGCACAATTTTTTGCATTTTACTTTATTTCTTGTTTCAGGTCGAAGTCTTTAATAGAAAAAGACAAGACTTTTCTCATCCTTACTGCAGCTGACCACAAGGGTGAGCTACTGAGATGAGAATGCAAGAATATGAAATGTCTCTGTTCCATTTAATTAGTAATTCCATTTAATTTAAACCAGATAGTGTTGCAAAAGCTTTCCTTGTCACAAAAAGTATCCTTTTAATTCTTAAATTGTGTTTCACAATCTGATCGTTTTTTGTTTTGTTTTTTTACTGGGGATTTTTGTTTAAACAAAAATGGAAAAGAAAAAAGGAATCGCTGCCCCAAAAGAGCATATTCGGCTGCATTCTTCCTCCTTTTTGATTGTGCAACTCCTTTTACACAAGTCAATACAGAGTCAATGCTCAATGCCACTAAACCCTGGAGTTTTGTTTAGCTACCTCTTAAAAAGAAAAAAAAACACACACTTAATAACTTAATAATTTATTTAAAGTTCATTGAAGTGTCAATTACATTTAAAAAAAAAAATTATGCACATTAAATATTTTCCATCTAGATATAAATCTATACACACACACACACAGCAGCTAATACCCATGTATTTCGAAAGAAAATAATAAATATGGCAGTTTAATAAACTAATACACTGTTCTAATGGTTTATAAAAATATAAAATAAAAGCAAAAGTCTGATATGTATAACATATCGTGTAGAGTTAGTGTTTCATAGAAACCAGTCCAATTCTGCACTTCAGGTGTGCTACGCACACACCGGTCCCTCCCAGCGCAAAAATGGTTACAGTCCAGCTGTGCGTCCCGTTTTGAGCTTCATTAGCAGAAATGGTGGATTCCTCTAGACCATGGTTTCCTTGGCCGTAATTTTTTGTCTTTGTGCTCGTTTACAGCACACCACAATCAGAACGATTACAGCAATTACAAAAGCCAGTATAATGACAGCTCCTCCTCCAATCACAGCAGGTTCATACTCTATAAAGAAAGGGAAAAAAATAGGAATTTTATTCACCATATTACAACAACAGAGTACATAATGAATAATAGTGGAAAGCTTAGCTATATGGCATCTGACACAGATTTTAAGTTATTGCTCAAATCCAGTTCATGTAATGGTTCTGTGCTAGTTTGTATAAAAGTCCAGTGATAAAGTTCATTTGTATTGTTAGTTTCAATGGTTTACAAATTTTTTTTTAATACCATTTTCAACAAAACTTTAAATTTAATGACTTTTTATTTTTTTTTTATTTACTTATGATTTTATTTATATTTTGCAAATCTAAATCATGAATTCATTTTTTTTTATGAATTAATAGATAAAACATCATCAACCTTGAATTATTGGTTATATTTTTTTTAAATTATATATATATATATATATATATTAATAATAGTATATTTAGATATTGTTTTTTTTTTTTCTTCAAATTTAAATGAATCTTTAAAAAAATATATAGAATTTATATATTTAATTTAGTCCCACACAGCAAGATAAGTCAGTTGAGCCCAGCTGTCTTTCTCTGGTCAGTTTCTGAGTGATGTCAGAATGCATCATCCTCCCTCATCTACTCTGTAAGCGGACCCTGAGCTGGCCTCTTCATGCTTAACAACCGTCCTGTTTTGTAAAACACAGGAATTCCAGACAACTAAATCTTTGAGCAAAACTTGAATCATTTAGAATATTTGGATGCCCCTTTTCCTTCCTCTGTCTCTCAAATGAATGCAACATCCCAGTAAAATTCAGTAAGGCAAAATTGTGTCTTGTTTAAACTTACCCTCAAAAAGAGTCTTGTGCTCCTGGGCCGAGCACTTGGGGAGGCTCCACTCTCCTAACATCTTGTCTCCTTTACGGGAAGGGATATATGCAGCCACGCTGAAGCAGTAACTCTGACCCTCATCTAGCCTAAAATCTGCTCTGCTCTCATCCACAGTTCGTATTTTCTGTAAACAAACACAACAACGTGAGAATTGCAAAGTCAGAGGACATTTAAATAAGAAACGCATTGCATTAAATCTTTATTAGTATCTGTGGCTGGTAAACGTGCCGACACTCACTTTTCCCGTGCTTCCAGCCTTGTTGTACGCGATCCGGTACTTGAGATTTTTCTTAAAGATGTCACGGATGTTCAGAGGTTTGCCATTTTTGTGCAGAGCTGTGATAAGGTCGTGTATGATCAGCACAATCTGTTTGTCCTCACTCGTCGTCAACGTGAACTTGGGTCTTCCAATTAAAGCTACAGGAATAGATTATTAGAACAACTGCTTTAAATCAATATTTGTTGAATGAATGAAGTCGTATTTTTGAACTCTAGCATATTGTGGTATGCAGGTTGAGAATGCATGGTTGGACACTCACTGTCATTATAAGGGCAGAATGTCTTCGACCTGGTGAATGGAGGCTCCACATGGTCAGAAGTCATCCCACGCAGGGACTCTGAGAGCACTTCAGCGGTATAAACCCCCTTTATGTCTAATTCATTGGTCAGGTCGCAATCGGTCTCAGTGGTTTTGATGCAGTGAGGGTTTCTCTGTTTGTCCTTACCAACTCTGAAGAGAAAAAACATGTTGGTTAGGATCACATGCCATAGGGTTTCGATCATGTGAAGAGTTCAGATGCAAAAGCCTCTAAATGCCATTTGAAATTTTCTTCTAGAATGATCATTTTTATCAAGCTTGTATATTTAAGTTCAGTGATTTCACTTAAATGGCAATGATAATTACCTATTAATTGTTATTTAAGTGAAATTACTGAACTTAAATATACAAGTTTGACAAAAATCATCATTAAAGAAGAAAAATTCAAATGGCATTTAGAGGCTTTTGCATCTGAACTCTTCATGTGTACACATTTATATTATTTTGTGTTGAATGTTGATCACAAAAGAATATTAATAGAAACATGAAAGCAAAGTCATGCTGGTTAAATAAGATATTAGTGTACTTGCCTTGAAAATTCAACGGTATATGTGTAATTGACAGGTTTAGGTCCCCATGATAGGATTGTTTTGAAATTGTAAGATGACCACGACACATTTTTGGCTTTGGGAAGCTTGCCCACTTGCACTGATGCTAAATGAGACAAAGGACAGAACAATACATTAGTCAAAACCATAGACTGTAAAAAAAGACACACATCAAAACAAAACACATCATTCAGCTTTCTCTGGTTTCCGTTACAACCAAACCTTTATCTGAAGTTCACAGATAGGCTAACGTTACCATACTGCGCCATGCATGCTGTACTGTACAATATTACTATCACAGACTGCCATACTAGTAAAACGTAAAAGGTAAACAGTTTATAATTATAATCGTTTACAGTTGTTGTTTTTTTTATATATATATATAATCATCCATAAAACCCAGATTTCTTACCTGGGGATCCGTTTACGAGAGTAAACCAGGCAAAAACTGCCCAAAATATTACAGTCATGCTTTCCATTGTTAGTGATAGCAATTTAGGCGTAAAATATTGAATCCAATGAATCCCTCTGAGGAGCGTTGGTCAATCAAATCGTTCACTAATGAGCCGTTTTTATAATGACTAGTGAGTGTGTGTGAACTCTCTTGTGCTGCCTGCCAGCCACAGACGGTGGAGACTCGTCATGAGTCACGAATGTAGCTCCGCCCCTTGCTTAACTTTGGGGTTTTGTCACTGGCTGGGCATCCAGTGTAACGCGCACCTTATAACCATATATGGTTATCCGGGTACCGGTTTTATTAAGATAATCCAAAATCCAAACTGACAAATTTTAGAACTTTTGACAAACGCTAATACGTCTGCATGTAACTTAGGCTGTGCTAGATTTTTTGCTACACCGTGACCATCGGGTACCGTAATTTAGGCTAGTCATTGCACATTTCTGTGTTGTTTTAACTGCATTTAGGCTGTGAATTCAGATTGCAATCTTAATGAAGTTTAGTTAGCTAACAATCACCCAAGCAAATTTATTTGCAATGTATTTTCAGTTGTAGCCTAATATAAATCATTTAAATAAATGAATACATGTGGTTCTTAATAGTGATCTGACTAGTGACTATGTGAAGTGAAAAAACTAGGCAATTAGGTCTATTTATAGCTATCTGCAAAATGTAAATAATAATTTTCCCCATTTTTAAATTTCCACGAAAAGCAGGTCTTCTCAAAAAGGCTTTTCTTTCAGTCAGCCTTTTTGAGAAGTTCCACTCGTGTGTTCTTCCAGGGATTAGGGAAGATTCAGTCTTAAGTAACTCTGTGGCAAAGATCATCATACCAACTGAGGAAGATTTGTAACCACACATTTCTGATAGCCTTGGCTTGTTCATGTGCCTCTCTGACTTCAGTTCATCACATATGGCTATGAGAAAACAACTTCTAGTCAAACCCAATGGACAATAAGCTTGTTACTTGAATTTACAAGACCTTGAATTTACGTGGCTTAGACGGACTGCCCGACTGCTGGGAAACCTACCATGGCTGTACCTTTCTTACTGATCAAAATACTGATAAAAGTTTTATTAATTTTCTTTACAAAACATTTCTTTATCAAGCTTAAAAATGCAGCAAACCCGGGCCTGATTTGGTGGAATCTTTTTGTGGATAATTTTTCAGCTCTTAAACATTTATCAACTCTGTTATTTCACTGTGTGTTAAGGGAAAGATTAGCAAACAATGAATTGACCTTTCAGAGGAAATAGATGGCAGACGATGAGATCATCAAAGACAGGTTACTTACTAAGACAGGTTTTATGCCTAAAATGAGAAAATACTGCTTATGTCTGACTTGTTTTCAAACTTGCTCACATGCCAGATAGTGATCTATTCAACATTAAGGGTTTAGAAGCAAAAATAATGCACTTCACTGATTAAAGTTTTCATGAAATGGAAGTTGCCATTTCCTCCCTATATTCCGAGTAAATGGCTTTTTGAACAGGAAAAAATGCAG